ATGCGAGGTTATGATGTGCATATTGTCGGGGTTGCATACGATCTGGTTCTGGCCCTCCAGACAGGTCTCGACAATATACAAGGCGTCGCACTGGGGGGCGCTGGACTGGGCAGAGACGGCGGCGGCGCCGGCAAGGAGAGTGATAGGAAGGATGAACTTCATCTTTATGGACTGATTAAGGAGGTAAATTACTAAAATAAAACAAAAATAAAAAAAGGAATTCAAGAGAAATTAGATGTATAGATATAACGAGTGGTGGACTAGAAAGAACTTGTAGAAATCGTCCCTTGTATTAGGAGAAGTGGTATCAGCGAGCGACAGGTAGTGGGAAAGACAGTGTAGAGAAGACGAAGACGGGAAGACGACGACACGGCTAAGAGGAAGCGAGAAGGGGGAAATTTATTCGTATCAATGTTGCGGAGCGTGACTTTCTTTTTGGCCGGACTGAGCTTGATGGGGCAGGGGGGCACAGACAGGGCTCGTATGTAAACAGTGGCCCGCGATGCACCAATGCACCAATGCACCAATGCACCCACGTTACGTTCATTTGCCCCGTACACAGCGTCGGGCTGGGCACTTAGCTCGTAATTACTCTCTTGCAGTCTTACAGTAGGGATAATTACCTGTTTGGGATATGGTGCCTAATCAGAAAATACCTACCTACGCGCAAAGCAAGGGAGCTAAAAGGTCCGGAGTCATATAATATCACAGCAGTTAAAAAGAAAGCAAAGAAACCTGTCTCTAAAGCAACGTCAAGACAAAGCCGACGATCAGCTCAGCAGGACAGGACGGGGCCGTCCCATAAGCACTCGATCAGACTACACCCAGCAAGTCAGTAACTTGCCTTCATCATGTGCTGATTCAGATGATTTGCTCAGTGAATGGTTTGGGGCCGAGAGCGCACCATTATTATGGTCACTTGCTTTGGCATTCATAGTTGGGTTTTGCCTCCCCCCCTTTTTTTCTTTCTTTTTTTCTTAGGGGGGGGGAGGGTCTCTTTGGAATGCGCCGGACTCGACCGTGGTTGTCTTGTTGGGGTAATTGCCCTCATCGTTGTCACGGCATTTGCACTCTATCGAGTACTGAAAGAAAAGAACGAGAAGACCGTTGGAAACAAGAACCTCCTAGTAGAGGGTGTTCGAGGTACGAATATTCACGATGAACAGAGGGTTGGTTGCATGCAAGGAGCATGCAATGCAATGCATCCTTTCTCGGCTGCCCCCTCGTATTCCTGAAGACGTGAAGTAGCTAAGCTAAGCTAAGCTAGGGGTTGCACTTTCGATCCTTCGCCCTCATTCGTTGTGATTGCTGCAATTTCGGGTCAGAAAAGCCCCACTGCATAAGGTAGGTTGTTAGTGACCTCCCGAACTGAGAATTTCCGGGGCTTTCATTGGCCAATTCAATCAAATAAGCGTATGCTTGTGAGGTACACTACTGCACAAAGCCCGAAGTATCCGTACCTACGTTGTACGTTGTGCGTTGTACGTTGGTTGTACTTCGTACAAAGTTGAACACTCGATCGCTCGATGGGTTCCATCTGTGTAGAAGCTTCACGAACTGAGGCAGCATAGCATCCTTGTACAAAGTACCCGGGACCTGCGTTCTAATTCATCGTCTGCTTTCATAGGTATGTTTCCTTCGTACGTCCGGCAAAAGAGACACCAGCTTTCGCTTCGCTCTTTACTCAGTCAATGGAACGCCTTTAATGGTAAGTGGTAAGTGGTAAGTGGTAAGTAATACGGATGGTTGGTGGTCAGCGTCGTTTTCTGTCTCATCTACTATTGGAAGCGAGGACATGTCAGACGTGGGAGACAGACAAGTCAAGCTCTGGACACATCAAGGTTTTCCTAATCGAAAGGGCAAGAAAGAGGGGGAGATGGTTACCACAAAGACTCAATATATCCGTGCTTTATTTACCGTTACCGATTTCGGCGCTGTCTCAACTTCCCCGGCATAGCCTAAAACAAGCCCTCTTGCACGTCTTCTTGGGACTTAACGACGGCATATTCATATGCGGTACTTACTGTTCTCTCTGTCGACTAGACGAGTCTCACCGCAGCACATACATAGCAGGGTAAACAGCGCCGGGTGTCGTAGGACAACTAGCTGTGCCCGAGGCAACGCATAGAGGGGCGAAGCTTATAAACAGGTCGTCTCACGACTCCATCCAAGCTGAGGAGGCGAAGAGCGGTGGGTATTGAATTCAGTGGAACGGGGAGACATCGCTGGACCGTGTGGAAACAGTGTCACGTAGCGACTCAGCTCTGGTTAAGGAACATCACAAGACGACAGTGCATCAAAGTTTTATCTATTGCATCCTATATTCAGCTCTTATGTAGGAGGGCAGCTTTCGTGAGCCAGCCCAGGAGGGCCGACAGGCAACTCAAGGTAAGGATACCACGAAGCAGACACAGGAATTAAAAAAAAAATTCATCAGACATTAGACATTTACAAAGAAAAGGGGGAAAAGCTCATGTACGAAGAGTTCTCGAGGCCAGGGATGGCTTGTACTACGTCCCCGTTTTCCAGGGAGCACAAAGCCATGCCATCCTCGGTCGTTTTTGGTTTGTTTGGATGGGACCCGGCGACGGTTACCATCAAACTCATCACCGGGGTTACCGCCCATCCACCCGACACAGCTCCATCAGATGCGGAGCTGATTGACGTCGGAGATGCTCCTATGCCGCTTATGACCGGCCGAATGTTCGCCGGACGCCTTGCGCTTCTGAGAGACCGATTCGAGCGGGCTGCGGGCAAATTCCTGCATCTGCCGTTTTTGCCGCCTCATGGGCGTCAGCGGAACCGCGGCGGTCTCGAAGCGGTCCGACTTGATGCCGCGCAGGGCCGTGTAGTTGTAAGGGCTGCTGAAGGCGAGCGAGTCCTGCGTGGCCTTCTCGCTGAGGATGAGGCGCTGGTTGATCTGGTCGCGGCGGAAGGCGCCGACGTTGCTGGCGTTGATGTGCGATAGCATGTCGATGTCGCTCGACGCGGTCGTCGGCCGGGCCGGGGTCGAAGCGAGGGCGTCGCTGCGGCACCAGTCGTCTCCGGCGGGCTCGTCGGCCTGGGACCCGGCCTCGAAGGTGATGAAATCGTCAATGTCGAGACTCCTCTCGGCGTCGTCTTCGTCTTCCATGTCCATGCCCATGTCGGAGCTGTCGTCCGCGGGGAAGAAGGCTTCGGCGGGCCCCATGGTGTGCGTGTCGAAGAAGTCGCCCAAGGCAAACCCGGTCGAGGACATGGCGCTCATCATGATATGGGCCGAGTTGCCCACCATCGGAGACGGCTGCAGCCCGAAGGGAGACAGCTCGAATTGTTCGGGGGAGAGGTCCAGCTGGCGTCGCCTATGCGGCGTGAAGATCATCATCTTCCTCGAGATGGGGTTCACCACAGCAATAGGTTTCCTCTCCGAGCTATCGAGATGGAAGCGGCCCACGCGCGGTTGGCCACGGCGACCCTTGATGGGTTTGCCGGTGTCGGACTCATCAGACTGAACCGCCCGTGCGGACTGCATTTGTCTCCGGCGCACAGATGGGGGCGGCATATCTTCTTCTTCCTCAGTGGTGTCGCCATCCGCTAAGAAGAGGTCGGCGGGATTAGCGGATGAGAGACAAAAGAGACGAAAAAGGACAAGTAAGGAGAGTGTGTTGGACGTCACGGCGAAAGTCAAGAAGTAAAAAACTCACTCTCGTAACCGTCCAGCTCTTGGACATCATCATGGGATGGCACCGGATCAGCGGCGGGCAACAAGTCAGGAGCGTCTTGGAGAGGGAAACGAGTGGCTACAGGGGTGACGTCCTCCTCGAGCTCCTGAATGATGGTGATGGCCTCCACATCGGCGTCGCCGCTAAGATTGTACTCGTAGACGCCGTGGAAGTCCCAGCAAGAGCCCGACGTGGTCGAACTCGCATCGTCATCTTGTTCAATTTCCCGGCGGAAGGACGGGTCCAGAGAGCTCTGATCGACAAACAGATCAGGGAAGAAATCAGCGTGGTCATCATCCGTGTCGGTAGAGTCAGAATCACTGGAGGGCACGTCCACGAAGCGGACGTGCCGTTCAGGAGCAGCACGATAGGGCGTGGCATGATTGTCCGAGCTGGCCGCCTCGTCGACTTCGGAGACGATGCCGTCCCAGCTCGCGCCATCATCTAGGTCAACACTGGCTGGTTCGTCAACAGCACCGACTTGGCCATCATCGTCATATTCTTCTTCTTCGTCGTCTTCATCCTCCTCGTCATCATCATCATCGTCATCGTCATCGTCGGCGTCGGTGTCGGCGTCGGCGTCCTGGCCATCGTCATTTTCAGCATCCGCCTGGTCATCTTGGTCAAGGGAGTGCGACCGAGGGGAACTCTGATTGCTAGGTTGCAATACGCGGGTTATGATGTGTTCCTCCTCGGCCGCATCGACATCTTTCTCGTCGTTGTCCTCGGAATCGCTAATGTCCTCGACTCCGGAGTAGCCCCCATCATCGGAAAGGTCGAGGGAAGAAGACGAGGAGGAATTGCGCCGCTGGGCAACCTTCCGGGCAATAGCCGGGTGTTTGAGGCGGATAATGCGCGACATGCCTCGTCCTGAATTCTGTTGCACTTGCTACTTGGCAGTTTATATCTGCGGCGATATAAGGTGGATCGATCGCCGTGGTATGGAGAGAGCGGTGAAGTGGGGCTCGGGACGAGACCGAGTTTTGAGTGGGTGATAAAAGGCGGTGCAACAAGAGACACCCGATGATTCTTCAGGGAAGTCGGAAAGGTAATAAACCTCAGTCTGTAGAGGGATAGTTGACCGTTGACTTTGTTTCTGAATAGAGGTGATGAAGGTTTGGTTCTGGAAGAAAGGGGGGGGGGGCGATAGAGGGGTGTCGTGATGCGGTTTAGTGTGATAGTGGCCCCAGGATGATGTGGGCTCGTTCTGGAGCAGCTGGTGTTGAATGGGGAAACAGGAAAGCAGGCTCTCGTCTCAATTCTCTAGAGAATTGGAGGTGTCTGACCGGGACACCCAAACGGTGAAAACCTTGCAGGATAAGACTTCGTCAAAAACAGAGGGATTGAATGTCTCGATGGGCTGCTGGACTGCGGGAGATGCCCCCTTTGCCAAAGGGAAACACCTCCCACAGTGGGCGTTTACAGCTCAGCGACGGCGGACATGATTCTCGACGAAGTTCTTAAAATTATGTTCTGGAGGTTTATGTCTGAGAATTGAGATTGTGCGACTTCGTTGTCTTGTTGGTAATTGTGTTGATGAATGTTGGAAAAGAGGAAGGGGGGGAAAGGAAAGAGAAGAAACGGAAGAAGCGGGAGGAGACGTCTTTTTCTCCTCTTATTCCAAACATTTTTTTTTTAACTCCATCTTGGGCTTCGGTGGGGATACTTGCTGGGAGGGAGAGGGGTTGGAAGCTCCGGGATTCGTCACTGGTCATGGTCCGTGCCCGACTGCCAGGTGTGAGTCGATGGGCGCCCGGACCATGATTGAATTCCCGAGGCGTCAGGGACCTGGCACTAAGCGATATCCGGATTAGCTGCCAGTCCTGGACGGGTCTTTTTGTCATTTTCTCGTTGTCTTTACAGGCTACGAAGTTTTTCGTTCGTAGCAACGAGTATTGTTCTATACACGTGTACTTCGTTCGAAGTAGGTGCACTAACTGCTAAGTAGCGGTCCGGCAGGCGGACGAAGACGAGACTTTTTCAATGACGGCTTTTCTGGTTTTCTTTCGTAGTTTAGTCCGTATTAACATTATGTTGGACACTGAACGAACCGAAGGCGTCTAATCAACGCCACCGAGGGGCCATAATAATCCCACTTCTCGGCTCTACTCCACGGAGTATTTCTCGCTCTCTCTCTCTCTTTCTCTCGTTTCCTTGTCGCTGCGGCAGGTAGCGGGGCCGAGAAGACAGCGGACGCGCCAAATCTACCACTGACAGGAGAACAACGAAGTTGCAGATGTATGAAGTATTCGTACATACTTCGAAGGTGCAGGCGCAGGTGCAGGTGCAGGTGCAGGTGCAGTTGCAGTTGCCGTTGCAAGCGCGGGGCGTTGTGCATGTGGGGAATGAGAGAATAGGATGTGTGGATACTGTGGTTCGACTGGTTGAGAGAGTTTGGTAGCGGTAGTACCTAAGGTAAGGTAGTGCTGCTTCTACACGTCCTTCCCACCCTTCCTACTCCATATATTACCTACATGGCGCATCACGGCTGCAGCGTCACCGCCTTTTTAACGTGGGGCTGTCGGAGAAGCGTCTCCCCCTAGGTACCTATACAGAAGAGCCTCGTTGGTGGGGTAGAAGAAACGGGTTTGACGGTAAAAAACGAACGAACAACGGAGTTGTCTCGAATCAGTCTGCGCTGATTTCGTTTGTTTATCTTTTTATATCCACGGATTTACAAAGTATGTTTCTTCTGATCTGCGTATTCAATATGTTGTACTCGTACATCCATTCCCTGTGGTTTTATCGAGGGAAAGAGTTGGCACTTTGAACTTTTTCATGGCTTGGGATGTGGATGCTTTATGTATAGTCCTCGGACCCCTGTTAGTGGCTTGGTGACCGGAAGTTCTCCTGTTCTGTACGAAGTATGGTATGTACGAATAGGTGCTGCAGGATTCATAACGGGGACAGACTGGATGGGGACTCTCCCGTCAAATGTAGGGAGACGTGGCCACGACGAAATGGCTCGTTTCTCTTCCCAATATATCTGTCGGATGACCTGGAGAGCGCGAGTGCCGGTACGTACAGACTGTGCAGAGCGACAGCTGGGGGCGTACATACAACGTACGTACCAAGTACGAAGTACGAAGCAAGAACGAATATGGATACAACGTAATTACAGTCTTGGAGCGGCCTATGCATAAGGACATGTGCGCATGAAAGATGAAGCGGAGTAGGGTATCGGTATCTGCGTTTCGACGACGGAAATCATGCATCTGGATCGACTAAGGTAGACACGCCCAGCTGGGGTGGAGAAGGGTCTTCCTCAATCCCCCCCCCCATTGTCTTTTTTTCTTTTTCTTTTCTTTTTCTTTTTTTACTTAGTTCCTTCAACTGTTATTCTCCGTTTGTCTGGTCTATTATTCGTGTTATTACACCTAGCAGTTCATTCCCTTTTACCCGAGGCATACGAAGTACAGACTATTAGACCCCTTGGGTCTTTTCCCCTTTTCTTCTATCTACTGCTCAACCGGTACTTACAATCACTCAAGGTCATGACGTAGAAAGTCCATGAGGCTTAATTCGGCCGATCTCGAGACTGGCACGAGGGACGGTTTCGGACCCGATGTCACGGAGCAATTCTACTACGTAATTAGCACCTAAATTTTCTTTTCTTTTCTTTTTTATCCGTATTTCTTTAGAACAGAGGAGAGGGGGGGGGGAAAGCAAGAAGAACAAAAGAAATTATGAGGTTAATGATAACTCCCCGCCATTCAACAACCCCTCCATCGAGTTCACCATTCCTCTCGACAGGTCTTTGGACATATGGCAGTGTTCCAGAATGTGTCTTACTGGATCACGGGGTGCAAAGGCTAAGAGTCATCAGTCTTACATAAGAATCAAAGTTCCGGTTCTGACTCCGTCGTTGTCGTGCTGATCCAGACTGAGTCACGGCTACAAACTTCAACCCCAGATAGGGTGTGAGTTTAAAAATAAAAATACAAATAAAAATCAAATAAAATAAAATAAATCCATTATTGGGCCGATAATATATGCAACTAGTTTACCAAGATGAATGGATTACAAGCAGTTTTTCCAGCTGGAAGCCTTTATTAGCGAATATCATGGGAATACCTTCCTATAGTGGGAGGATGGGCCAAAGTCCAATCGCTTAGCGGGCGGCTTTCGACCAGCCGAGAATCTGGGGTGCATCCAACGTAAGTCACACTGCTTACCCTTATGCTTTAAGATGATGATTGTTGGGATTTCATATTTAGACTAGTTGACGAGAAGGAATAACGACTCCGGTTCTACCTAACGGCGGTCTCGATTTGGTTTCAAGGATATATTCCCCCCCGTAGGCCAGGAAAAATAAAAGTCGTTCAGTTACGGTTATTCGGACAGCACCAAGGTTAAAATAGGAAAGGAAGAAAAAAAAAGACATGCTGCCTATTTGTAGCAACAAACACATCAACCTGTGAAAATCCCTCCCCTCAACCGTTAGCTATCTCCTCCTCCTCGTCTTCCCATTCTCCCTTGTCATCGGCCTCCTCGTTGAGCAGCATCTCCCCATCAGCACCAAGTCCCTCGCTATCGTAGCCATTGTCGTAGTCGTAGTCGTATTCGTCATCCATCTCCTCGTCGCTGTCCCCTTCCCCTTCCACGTTCTCGCCCTGGCCCTGTCCCTTCTGCCCTTTGCCAGCCGCCCGTTTCTTCTCCAAATTCTGCTTCTGCTCCTGCCGCCGCGCCTCCTTCTCCCGCCTCCGCGTCTCCCACCGCTCGTCCAGCTCCTTCTCCTCCGCCCGCGACTTCTGCACATACTCGTGCCACAGCGGCTTGCCCGCGCACAGCCCTTCCTCCACTTTGGTCAGCCGCAGCAGTATCCGCGGTCCCAGCTCCACCAGCTTCACCGCCCGCCTCTCCACGCCCTCGTCCCCGTCCTCGTCGTCGCCATGATGGCCGTCGCCTCCTCCTCCTCCTATCCCCGCCTCGGCGCCGGCGCCCGCCGCGTGCCTGGACCTGCGCGAGGGCAGCTTCTTGGTCGTCCGCTCGAGCACCTCGATCTCGGCGTCCGTATCGACCTCACTCCCGCTCGTGGCGTCCGTCATGTACCCGGCCCCGTCGTTGCCGATCATAAAGTCGGCGATGTCCTCGAGCTTGCCCAGGTTCGGGATGGCGCCCTTCTTAGCGCCCGTCGTCGCCGCCGAGCCGGCCCTGGCTCTGGGACCACCGGCAACGAGTTTTTCGGCGGTGTGGAGCCGCTTGAGAGGCCGGGAGATGCCCGCGGCCCGCGTGGTGATGGCGAAGTGGCGGAAGTTGAGGACGAAGGAGCCGTCGTTCTCGGGGGCGAGTTCGCGGTTCAGCAGGAGGACGCGGCGGATCGACTTGAGCGAGGTGGTTTGCGGGTTGATGGGGGGGAAGATGGATTGGAAAACGGTTGTCGCGAGCGATTCGAGATGCTTAGGCACAGGACTCTTGGCATCCGATCCTGGGGCGGAGAAGTTGTTCATGACCAGCTTTGCTCGTCTGTCAGTAAACCGTGCGTAAAGTTGGGAGGCCGGGGGAGGGCAGGCTGGTAGAGGAAAGAAATGAACATACCAGAGGAGGGGTGACAGCATCGTTGCCCAGGCCCTTGGGCCGGCGTTGAGCATGTTGCACGTCCTTGCAGAGGGAATACTTCTCGACGCGAAAGTGCATGGTGGGTCCTCGAGGAGTGACGGCGATACGCATGTTGGTGTTGCCGCTGCTCGACCGTGAGAAGAGCATCATGTGTGTGACGCCCAAGGGGCCAGCCATGACGACGTAGTCCTTGAGGCGATTCGAGCGGCGTTCCTTGAGGCGGCTGGCCGTGCCGGGTTCCATGACCTTGCGGACATCGGCGGCCAGTTGACTGACACTCGTGCCGACCTCGCCAGCTCCAATCCGAATCACCATGGACTTGGGGTCGCGCATATCAGCGTGGCCCGCGGCCGCCGTCTTGGGGTTTTGGGCCCCGAGGTGGGTGCGCTTCTTGACACGACGTTTAGCCATGGCGGGGAGCGGCGTAGGGAAAGGTTCGAGTCCCCTTGCTTTCTATGCAAAAGTAGAAAATGAGATTGTCAATAAGAAAATAGGAGTGATTTTGTATTGCAAATAGGCGGCGACTTTTTCTTGATGTCCACCTCGAAATGCTTGAATTGGAGCCTGGAGCTTGGGTCGTATAATTTTTTTTTCTTTTTTTCCCCTTCTTTTCTCCATGTCGAGAAAAGTTTCCTGGGTTGGTCAATTGATAAGATTAAGATGTATGATATGGACCCATCCTTATCTTATCGTCGATAAGAACATTAAAATTTCCAGCATCCCCACACTCCCACTTTATTTTTCCGACCTCCAGCTCGATCCAGTGTCTTCAGCTCGTGGTTCCTTTCCTCCTCGCCGCTCACAGGGGAGATTGAACACAGCTCTCTACCGGGACCAAGTTGCATCTTCTTTTTGACCGACCACAATCAACAGTATCAGTGATCATATAAAGTCGCCACTATGCCTGGAACACACACTCAGAAAAGACGCAAGCTGTCTCATGGCTCTTCTCAGCCTGACGAGTCGTCCGAGTCCCGGACACTGTCCCCTCCTCCTCCTGCTCCGTCAGCACAAGCCTCCGAGTCTGTAGCTCAAGAACCAGAGAATGAGCCTCAGGTCACGTTTGCAGACCTTGTACGTCGAAAAACCAAGCATTCGTCTCGTCTATCTATTTGGACGGACACCCTCGCTAACTAAACCCCAGGGCCTTGCCGAACCTCTCCTCGAGTCTACAGCTGCACTCGGATACAAGTACCCAACCCCAATTCAGGCGAAGAGCATTCCGGAAGCTCTCAAGGGGAGAGACATTATTGGTTTAGCAGAAACCGGTAGCGGAAAGACGGCAGCGTTTGCACTCCCCATCATCCAGGCCCTTTTGGAGAAACCGTCGGGCCTGTTCGCCGTCGTCCTCGCTCCGACACGAGAACTCGCTGGCCAAATCGCTCAGAACATGGAGGCCTTGGGCTCTATATGTGCGCTGCGCTGTGCAACCATTGTGGGCGGCTTGGACATGGTACCGCAGGCCATTGCGCTGAGCAAAAAGCCCCATGTGATAGTGGCAACCCCCGGTCGTCTGCTGGACCACCTCGAGAAGACACGCGGTTTCAACCTGAGGAGTCTGAAATACCTGGTCATGGACGAAGCTGATCGGCTTCTGGATCTCGACTTTGGCCCGAGCATCGACCGCATTCTCAAGTTCGTCCCCCGCGAGCGGAACACGTATCTCTTCTCCGCCACCATGAGCTCCAAGGTGGAGAGCCTCCAACGGGCAAGTCTGAAGGATCCCGTGCGCATCTCCGTCAACACCTCGGCCTCCAAGCACCAGGTCGTCGCCAGCCTCATCCAAAACTACCTCTTCATCCCGCACAGCTACAAGGACGTCTACACCATCCATCTCATCAACGAGCACGCCGGCCAGACCATCATCGTCTTCACCCGGACCGTCAACGAATGCCAGCGGCTCGGCATCCTCCTCCGCACCCTCGGCTTCAGCGCCATCCCGCTGCACGGCCAGCTCTCGCAGTCGGCCCGCATGGGCGCCCTCAACAAGTTCAAGGCCGGGTCGCGCGAGATCCTCGTGGCCACCGACGTCGCCGCCCGCGGCCTCGACATCCCCAACGTCGACGTCGTCCTCAACTACGACCTGCCCCAGGACAGCAAGACGTACATCCACCGCGTCGGCCGTACCGCCCGGGCCGGCAAGTCCGGGTTGGCCCTCAGCCTCGTCACGCAGTACGACCTCGAGATCTGGCTCCGCATCGAGGCCGCCCTGGGCAAGAAACTGAAAGAGTATCCCACGGAAAAGGATCAGGTCATGGTGTTCCAGCCGCGCATCGAGGAGGCGCAGCGGCACGCGAGGATCGAGATGAAGAATATCCACGAGAGCCGCGATAAGAGGGGCGCGGCGGCGCGGGGTAAGGGTGCTCGGCCGCCCAAGAGGCGACGTGACAACATGGATGCGGAGGAGGGCTGATCTTGGGGGGGAGGAATGGAATGGGCAAGGCGTGTCCGACATTTGTGAGCTGGATGATTATTTTTATTTGAAGGGCCAGTTGACGCAAGCGACTTGCCTTGTTGGGAATAGATAAAATAGGAAGCTTTCTTGTGTTTCGTCAGGGTTGTCTGGCAGGCCTTTTACGATGCATGTTAGTCCTTACGGTAATTAATTACTGCTATTTGATTGTCAAAACATGAATCGTCTGCGTTTCGTCCTCTGAAGACATCGGGACGTCGACAGTCCTGAGGCGTTCTCCCCGTGGTCTTAGAAAGGCGGGTAGGAACGGTTCACTGAATGGAGTTAATTGGAGAGCAGGTGCCACAGCACGTTTCGATTCTTCTCATCTATAAATGCCTAGAGCATCGTGTTGCCAGCAATCGACAAGCCATTCCATTCTACCAAAAGTGACCGACATGACATGGGGGTCAGGGGAACAAGCGGCGCCTTTTAGGCAAACCCCGGGGGTATCGAATACAATTGAAAACATCCAAGCCGTACGTCAGTGAAAACCCCTCCATTTATTTCTCGCTCACCTCACCCGAGGTGGGATCGGAAGAAGAAGTGTCCCGCGCCTGCGACGCAGACGGACGGGTGGCGACAGAACGACGGCGCTCGACGTCGTCCGCGTCAAAGTACCTGGCCAACTCGCGCTCCAGGTCCTGGGCGGCGTAGCGGGGCATCTCGCGGGCGGTCTTGACGGGGGAGACCTTCTCGGCGTAGGCCTTGGCGAAGTAGAGGTCGATCTCCTCGAGGGAGCGGCGGGAGGTCTCGGGGAAGAAGAAGTAGACGCAGGGGATGATGGCGGCGTTGAGGACGGCGAAGATGACGTAGGTGCGGTACTGCAGGTTGGCGAAGGCGGGCGGGGTGATCATGACGATGACGAAGTTGGAGAGCCAGTTGGAGCAGGTGGAGAGGGCGTTGGCCTGGATGCGGATGGAGAGGTTGGTGACCTCGGCGGGGTAGAGCCAGGTCATGCCGAGCCAGCCGAGGGCGAAGAAGGTGTTGAAGCCGAAGAGGAAGACGACGGCGGTCACGCCGTAGCCCAGGGACAGCACGGGCGCGCCGTCCTCGTCGGGCACGCCAGTGGAGGTGGTCCCCGCCAGGATGGCCATGGAGGCCATCATGCCGATGGCGCCGAAGAGCATGAGCTTGCGGCGGCCGACGCGCTCGATCAGCGGCAGGGCGACGAGGGAGGCGAGGAAGTACTCGGTGCCGTTGAGGGCGGCCAACAGGCGGGAGAGCTGGGGCCCGAAGCCCAGCGAGTTCTCGAAGACGAAGGTGGCGTAGTAGGTGATGAGGTTGATGCCGCAGAACTGCTGGAAGAACTGGGCCGCCACGCCGAGCGCGGTGCGGCGGAAGTTCTGGGACGGACCGCCGGTGAGGAGATGACGGAAACGACCGGTGTTCTTTTGCACGTTCAAGGCCGAAGCGATCTGGGAGATCTCGGCGTCGACCTCGGGGGCATCCTCGGGCTTATCGAGCAGACGAGCGGTGACCTGGCGGGCCTCGGCGGTGCGACCCTTCATGAGGAGCCAACGGGGCGAGTCGGGAAGATACAGGAGACCCCACATGACGACGATGGTGAAGAAGGACTGGAAGGCCAGGGGGAAACGCCAGCGGACCTCGCCCTCGAGGAAGTAGAAGCCGTAGACGACCCAGTAGGAGATCATGATGCCAGCAGAAATGAGGGCGCCGGAAATCAGAATCAGAAAGCCGCGCCTCTCGGGGCGAGCGCACTCGGACTGCCAGGTGGGGATGGTGGAGGTAACCATGCCGTTGCCGACACCGCCGACGACACGGCCCGAGACGAAGAGGCCGTACTCGAAGCTGGCGGCCTGCATGACGGTGCCGAGGATCATGATGGCGGAGCCCCAGAAGGTGGACGAGCGACGGCCCCAGGTCTCGCCCTGGAAGAAAATGAGGAGGGCGCCGAGAAAGCAGCCGATCTGGTAAACGGCGACGCCGGCGGCCTGGGTGTTGGCGTCGCCGTGGCAGTACCGCTCGTCGCGGGAGCCGTCGTCGTTCCAGCAGAGCGGGTTGCTGTCGTCGAGGGGCGTCATGAGGGCCTGGTTCCTCTGGAAGTCGTCGAGGGTGAGCAGGCCGGACAGGACGCCCTGGTCGTAGCCGAACATGAGGAAGCCACAGCTGGCGATGAAGCCGATGGCCCAGTTCAGGCGGGGGCCTCGGAGGCGTTCGCCGCCGACTTTCCACTCGGGGAGGTCGCCCATCTTGCTGCACCAGCGCACGAGGAAGCTCTTCTTTGGTTCATCCTCGACCCTGCCGGTTGCGGTTGTCTTTCCGGTTCCGGCGTGGGTGTGGGTGTGGGTGTGGGATGGAGAATCCGTCTTTTCGGTATCCGACATGATAACGGAGGCGAATCGCGGATTTCCCCTGGCAATAACAAAGGGAAGAGAGAAAGGGAAGCTTAAGAAGGGAGGGGAGGTACGGAGGGATTCAAGATGGAAAGCCTATATGATGGGACAGGTGAGACTGTGAAGTTGTGTTCTCTTGTCGTCTTCGTCTTCGTCTTCGTCATCTGTCTTATACAAATGCGGAGTGACCTAGATCGAAAGGCAAGTCGCTAGGCAGCTTTCGAAGGGTCGTACTGGCACCGGGGAAACATCAAAGAAAGCAGCCCACCCCTTGGGGTTTTTGGCGGGGAGAGGACGGGGAGGACGTTTATATACCTACACGATGGCACCCCATTGCCCGCGGTACTTCGTACGGTACTCTACTCCGTACGTGTACAAGAGATGTTCTTTTCGTCCCTGAGTAAGGTACAGGTACCTGTAACCTGACCGATGCATTCCTTGGACCAATGTTCCAACTTGCCAGGTAACCGGATTAGTGTGCCACCAAGACATGATATTTCCCCATCTTCTCCATAAATGTTTACCAACAGCCCGGGGGATCTTCTCGACACTGGAGTCGCTGGAGACGCTGGAGACGCTGGAGACGCCGGCGACCTATGACTTCGCAGAAAGGAAAAGACAGGGGACCCACGGATAAGGGATGGCGAGACGCTGTATGACAGTACCTAGGTATATAAGCGTCGGAAAATCGGAAGGAAAAAAAAAAAAAAAAGAAGCCAAAATAAAAGGACTGGAAACGAAATAAAGATTGGGGGTCAAAACAAGGATCTTGGCTCCAAACTACCGTTGTATCCCAACTGCCTCCCGCCCCACTTACCCCGGTTTTTTTTGCTTTCGCTCCCAGATATTTATCGCTTTACCTCTCTAGGAAACCCGAGACCTTCGGTTGACATCTTTCCGGCCTAGTGTGCCCAGAGACCCCTTGCATTATTAGTAAACATCTCGGCACTCTTATTACCCTTGGCACTGTGGTCTCAACTCTCAACACCACCCCCGGAGTAAAGCCCCTAATAATGAATGTCCTAATGTCCAGCCCGTTGTACCCCGACTTGCTTCCCCGTTGCCCGTCCGTGACTCCGTCGTTCCACTTTCCTCCACCTTTCCTCCACCTTTCCTCCTTATTCGTACGAATCCATGCTCTTCCATCGGACCATCGCCGGCAAGTTCATCGGTGTCCTGCACAGTACGTGTACTGTTCGAAGACGGGAGGACGTGCAGGTCTTGGCTACTCGCACCAACCAAGCATATGCTGCTAGACAAATCTCATGCCAGTCCATGGCCTCGCGCTGGGCAGAGCAGACTCTGCAGTCGGCTTTTCCCGTGATACTGTGTTAGTAATAAGCAAGCTGTAACAGGCGCCATATTGGTTGTACCTGATATAGACGGTAGACCCCTTTTCACATCTTGATTCTCCTCCCTCGGACTCTCGCTATTCTCCTCCATGCTTCCTAAGTTCCATTTGCCTCAGGCAGTAATTATAGTATACACGAGATGGCGAACAGCTGCAGAAAAGCGGGGTCCCCCTTTTGATGTATTTAGTCTTCGAGCCGCTGAAGCACGTGACCCTTTCCCCTCATTGTCATATCTCACCTCCGCCCGCACTTTCATGATGCCCTGGTTACCGTATACGGAGTCGTAAGACGCAGGGCATCAGGCAGATAAGAGACTCCGACGAAGTAATCCCGCGTGCGTTCCGCAAACTTGTAGGGTCTAGACGAAATGTCCGCAAAAACGACAAGATCCCTACACAAGACTGCCAGCCTTGATATGAGTTACGATGTTATATTATTGTTGAACATTGCGCCATCTCATTCCGTAGGCATGCCCTTAGCTCGTACTTCATGGAGCGCGTGAGAGAATAAGTTCTCTAACTTGCCGTCCCATTGCTCCGACTCTCTTCTCAAGTTGTCAACGCTCAATCTCGGTCGACGTTATGTAGACGGCCTCTGTGCTCCAGGCTTCGACTTGGCAACCTGCTTTCAACAATATAATCTTCAACAGCTGTCGAGTCTAAGGACAAGGGAAGCCTGGGAAGGTTGCTCTTTCCTAAGTCGCTACCTCTCCAGGCTCTCCCGTTGCCTCCATGGCGGCTGGATATTCAAGTCTGGCTTCTTATATGCTCCTTCCTCTGCCCCTTGCCCTCATACTATAAGCTGTTCACTACCTTCCGTTTTCTTTCGCTCTCTTCACCGTCCTGTAACTTCACCTTTCACGGAACTCATAAATTATTTCTATACCAACTTCCTGCAGACAGACCCTCCTTCCTTCACCCAGTCTCGCGTTGTCCCATCAGGCTTCGACTATACCTGCCCTTGACCCCTCTGCATTATCTACTTCTGCTCGTCGGAACGCCATGCAAAATTGTCACGTGACATGCGCGCGACCCCCGACTTATGGGCCGGAGCTACAGGGTCTTGGCCCGATGAACCGGGGAGGACGGCCAATGGACATCCGCAGCAACTTCTTGTCGTTCAATGTCATGTATTCAAAGGCACGCCACCTCACTGCGGACTATAGGGTAAAAGGAACACACTTTGGATAAACGGCGAAGAAATAGGCATATTTCACAGTTTTGCTTTCGCCATTCAACTCGTCACTGATAGGTAAGGTATATATGTATACAGCCCGTCGAACACGCACGGAGTCGGCCCAGACCTTTCTCCCACCAACCCTCACCCAGAATCCCAAATCCCGATCTGCTTTTGTTATGGAGTAGAAACGAAGAACTACTGCAAATGCAACACATACCCAGAAATTTGCTGCAATATGACAATCAGATATCAACAGAAAGCACTTTTCGTCCTCTTTTTTTTCTTTTTCTTTCTTGAAGCAGGGGAAAAATCAAATTCCTTCCCCCCTCAGTAACGGGACTCTGTTGTGTGAACCTCGGCCTTCAATCAAGGTCAAGGACAGAGGGAGCCAAAAACAACCCGGTTTCAGCAGCAAGAATGCAAGAAAAACGCCGTAGGCAGAGGTGTGAGGGAACGGGGCATATAGATGGGTACCGACGGCGGCACGGGAGATCAAACGCAAAAGAATGACACAACGAAGACGCTTGTTTTACTCGGAAAAAAGCTCAGCCGTGCAGGCCGCAGGTGCGTTGCTTCATCAGCTCGCGTCTCGCCTTGTCCTTCGCGCTATCCCAGAAGATGAACTCGTGCAGGCCATGGCCGGCCGGGACCATGGGCAGGACGGGCACCTTCTTGTCGGTGACGACCTCGAGCAAGGCGGGGCCCTCGGACTCGATGAGCCACTTGAGGGCCTCGGTCGTCTCGTCCGGCTTGACGAGGCGGCGGTGCTGCACGCCCATGGCGTCGGCGAGCTTCATGAAGTCCGGGTTCCGCTGGTGCGTGTGGGAGTAGCGGTCCTCGTAGAAGAGGTTCTGCCACTGCGTCACCATGCCCTGCTCCTCGTTGTTCAGCACGATGACCTTGACCCCGATGTCGAACTGCGCCGCCGTGGAGAGCTCGGTGAGCGTCATGTTGAAGGAGGCGTCGCCGTCGATGTCGATGACGAGCGCGTCCGGCCGCGCCACCTTGGCGCCGATGGCCGCGGGCAGACCGAAGCCCATGGTGCCGAGGCCGCCCGACGTGATCATGGTGCGGGGGTGGCGCCAGCGGAAATGCTGCGCCGCCCACATCTGGTGCTGGCCGACGCCGGTCGAGATGAAGGTGGTGTCCTTGCGGTCGGCCGTGAGGTTGCTGAGCTCCTCGATGAGGGCCTGCGGCTTGATGAGCCCGGACCGCTGGGACCGCTCGTAGTCGGACATGGGCCAGCGCGCCTTCCACTCGTTGATCTGGCTGAACCAGGCCTTGCGGTCCTCCATCGTCTTGGCCTGGACCTGGGGGATCAGGACGTCGAGGTTGGCAGTGACGTCGCCCTCGACCGCCTCGGTGGCCTCCACCACCTTGTTGATGTTCTTGGGCATGATTTCGAAGTGGACGATGCCCCCCCGGCCCTCGGCCGCGGCGGCCTTGGCAGCGGGCGCGAACTTGGGAATGTTGCCAGTGACACGGTCGTCGAAGCGGGCGCCCAGGGCGATGATGAGGTCGGCCTCCTGTATCGACATGTTGGCGTAGGCGGAACCGTGCATGCCGAGCATGTGCAGCGACTTCTCGTCCAACTCGTCGAAACCGCCCAGACCCTGGAGCGTGGTGGTCACGGGGATGGACGCCTTGTCGGCGAGCGCCTTGAGGGCAGCGGGACCTCCCTTGGAGAGGACGATGCCCTGGCCGGCGTAGATGACGGGCTTCTTAGCCACGTTGATGAGGTCGGCCACGCGCTTGATCGAGGCGTCGAGCTGTCTCCTGGTCAGAGCCATGGCGGCGCGGGAGGCAGCGCTGGGCAGGGACGGGAAAGCCGAGTCGGTGGGGATGGCGCGGCGGAGGACGCTGGCGGTGACGTCCTTGGGGAGGTCAACGAGGACAGGACCCGGGCGGCCGGACGTGGCGATCTCGAAGGCCTCGTTGATACGGCGGGGAAGCTCAGCAATGTTCTTCACCATCACGTTCCACTTGGTGCAGGACCGGCTGATGCCGATCACGTCGGCCTCCTGGAAGGCATCGCTGCCGATGGCGGTGGTGACGACCTGACCGCAGAAGACGACCATCGGCGTCCCGTCCGACAGCGCGTCCTGCAGGGGGGTAATGACGTTGGTCGCGCCGGGACCCGAGGTGACGAGGACGACGCCGGGCAGGCCAGACGCCCGAGCGTATCCTTCGGCCATGTGGCCGGCACCCTGCTCGTGCTTAGGTAGGATGAAGTCGAAATGGGGAGAGTTGTAGATGGCATCGAAGACGGGGAGAATGGCTCCACCGGGGTATCCAACTAAAATATTGGTGCAATTGTGTTAGCAACCCGGCCCAGCTAGAAGACACCCAAGCGAGAGAGAAGAGACCCAGACCAGTGGCGACTTACAAATGTGTTTAACATTGTGCCTCAGCATCATCTCGTGGAAGATTTCACCACCAGTCTTGCCAATGAACCTAGAATCACAACGGCGTCAGCTTGGGAAAGTCATGGTTTGTATTTCAATGGGCTGATGGTGTCGGGCGACAACGTACGACTCGTCCATATCGGGGGCACGGGGGTTGACGAGGGGCTCAACATGGCTGCGCTGGTCGTTTTCTCTGTTGAAATTCGGTGCCGGGGCATTTCTGACTTCTCTGTTGTTAGGCCGGAAGCCCAAGTCAGTCGTCTTGGAATTCACGAATGGTGAGTCACCCCCCATAGGGGTTGTATGGAAGAGGCAGGACAGGGATCGGACATACGGAGCTGGTGAGGATGCTGTAGTTGACTGATTCCTCACGACAGAGGGAAGCTTCTTGGAGGATTGGACGGCTGCCACGGCGGTAGAGGTGGTGAAAGAGCGGACGACATCTGATGTTTTTGCCACGGCCCTGAGGGCACGGGTGGCATTACGGCTTCGGAGCATCATGGCGAGAGGTAGACGAGTGGGAAGAGAGGCAACGGATGGTGGAGGAGTGGAGAGTGTCCTAGGAAGAGAACGGACGAGAAAGAAGAGAGAAGAGTAGAGAGAATAGAGGAAAAAGAAACGAATTAGGGCCTACAACATGGACTGGAGATGTCCTGCAGGCGTTCCGAGGAAAATTGAACCTTGAGGCTCAAGAGAACCTGGGGAATGACTGTCTGGGGGAGGGGGGGGGGGGTTGTTGAAGGTGACAGACAAGACAAACTGAAAGTGCAAGACCGGTCCTATCGGAGGACAAGGGAAAAATATTGACAAGCGGTGACTGTGCTCCAGGGTGCCGAATGTGGGGTGCTCGGCGGATGCACGGACCATTCTCCTCTTCGACCTAGGCGATATCGGCCCATCCAGTTTCCCAAGACTCGAGACTCTTTCCAATGAGTGGCTGGAACGGGCGTTAGTGGCCAAATTGAGCGACGTCTGATTGGCTGATGTGCATGCAGAGAGGCAAAGAGGCAAAATCTCGACTCAAGAACGGTGGGTGACTCAGCATAAGAAGCGTTTCATTACCTAATCCCAAGTGCGTAGTGTGGAGTTACAAGGGTGTCTTTTTCTTTTTCCTTTTCTCTCTCTTCCCTCTCTGGATCGCGTTCATTATGAGCTTCTCCCCTCCTCCTACCCCTCATTCAAGGGCCTCAAAAGAGGACGAGCGGAGATTCAAAACCATTACCTCAACCTGCGAATGGGTAGAAGATTATCGCCCAGGTGGCTATCATCCAATTCATCTTGGTGACGTCTTCAACAATGGCCAATACAAGGTCATTCGGAAGCTCGGTGAGGGGTCCTATTCAACGGTCTGGTTGGGCCGTGACCTGTGGTGAGTCTATCTTCGTCGTCGTCTGCCGCAATGCTATACGTTGTAGGTATGCATTCCATTTTTAGCAATAATAGATATGTCGCCCTGAAGTTCCTTGTTTCGGAGATCTCGAGGCCGACTGAAGTACAAATCTTACGACACATCAAGAACCTCGCACCGGTGGAGTCACCCAAACATATCACGCAGCTTCTGGACGAATTCCAGCACCACGGCCCCAATGGAATTCACAATTGCTTAGTATTCGAGCCCATGGGCCCGAGTGTGAACACCATGGTCGAAGAGCTGCCCCAATTCAAACCCCGTAAGCGGGGCATGAACGTCCGCTACCCGCCTCAAATGGCAAAGAGCATCCTCAAGCAGTCTTTACTGGCCCTAGCATTCCTCCACGACAATGGTATTGCCCATGGCGACTTCCAACCAGGAAACATGCTCTTTACTCTCAATGACATAGACTCAACACCCGAAGATACCATCCGGCAGGAGGAAGACGTGCTAGCCAGGTCAATATCCCCCCCAGTACAGAGGCTAGACGGCAAAGAAGACAAGTGGGCCCCTCGATACCTTTGCATGGCGCAGCCGCTAGTGCCCTACACCAGCTACGCCGAAGGCTTCAAGATCAAACTATCTGATATGGGTGGCGGTTAGTATCACCCGAATTTATCTGCGCTTTGTGTTCCTTCCAAAGACAACTATTAACTCAAAATAGCATATTTTTATTACGGATCCGCCGGAAAAACCTGTCACTCCTCTCGGTCTTCGGGCTCCCGAGTTGATTCTTACTGGAGCTGTTGACAAGACCCTTGATATATGGAGTTTCGGCTGCCTTATCTTTGAGCTTATCACTGGACATCCCCTCTTCTGGGCACCGGGATCTGAGTATGAAGATGATGACCATCTCCTCTCCCTCACCGCCCGGCTAGGTCCCCTCCCCGACGAACTTTTCCACAGTTGGAAGACATCTTCGTTATACTTTACGCCCGAGAGGAAGCTTTTTAATTGTCAGCTTGGGGGGTGGTGGTGGAAGGAGGCGAGCCGCTTGTGGTAGAGCAGACATCTATGGAGGAGTTGTTCGACCGAGCAGGCCCTGATCTTGAGGGAGAGGAGGCGCACAATGTAAAGGCGCTCGTACGAAGTATGTTACAATACGATCCTGCAGAGAGGCCTTCGCCTACGGAAATCCTAGCTAATCCGTGGTTTCGTAAGATTGAGGTTCAGAGCAGCCTTTAGGTAATCGGCTGATAGATGTAACTCTAGTTCGCATTGATTGCCTTGACCTTTTAATGCTGGCAGTGGAATCCAATGGACTGATCATGTCCACGCCATTGTATTGATCGCCTACCTGCTTTGAGATTCAAGTCGTCGTTATATCTTGGAAGGCCTGTCACGGTCCTATCCATGTCAGCCACCACGCCGTTCTGGCTGCGCTATTAGAGCAAACGCCCCGATTGAACGCATGAGTTAGCAACTCCTTTTCGTATTCCAACAGCCAGGGACTCTTGTAGACGTACATGCGCCACGAAGCGGCCAGGCCGGACATGTTGGCCGAAGCCTCACCGACTGGCTGCAGCTCCTGAATACGACGCCGTCAGGAACTTAAATATCAAGCGAGACAAACGCGCCCAACAGGCGGATTGTGCTAGAGAATACGTGCGCCGGATGCCAACAGGCGCAACATGGCGCGTTGCCTCTTCAGAGCTGCTGCCATCCCAGAGGGGCAAGAAGCGAGGATCACGATATAACCGACAGAGCCAGCGTATATTCGCCTCGAGATCTATCTTATATGGAGGCGCCGTCGTCGAAACTCAGGGTTCGATAATGCACAAAGCTGCTACGTTTGCGAAGAATTATAACAAGGGCTTGTAGAATGTGATGGCAACCGTTTTTATACATGAAATGCTTTCTGAGGGGGGAAACTTAGCCGGTTGACCAAAACACAAACACATCGTTTTCCCTTGGTTACGATTCCTTCGTATGTCCGTGAGACGAGACGCCAATCGTCTAGATCTAGGGCATAGCTTTTCCAATCATTGACTGCTAATTAGGACCTTGTCCATGCCAGCACGGACGTCTTCGTTAGCTGCTGATGGATACGGTTGCCTCTGATGGGTATCGTGAGTCCGATGCCCATGGCTTGGTGGGGTAGATTCCGGAGCGACCAGTTGCCCTAATGCGCCTCCTTCCTTGTGATGGAGTATATTTTCTTTTGGTGATTCTCAAACCTGCATAACGTACAAGTTTGGTCAGGTGTTTCGTTTGTGCAAGCTCATTTGGTGCAGTGAGACAATCTAAGTTATTGATAGCAATACGCAATAGAGCAGAAAGGCCTTGCAGGGCCGGATTAGCCAACTCGAGGAAGAAAAGCGTTCGCCAAAGAGCACTTTGGACAATTTCTGGGGATATATATATATCTCTTTTGCTAACCTGTCTGGCCAAGACAACTCAAGTGGCCGCGGTCTCTTCCGGGTACCCCCCAAACACCCACGCCTACCATGGAAAACATGTCAACGATACTGGTACCGCCTAGGATGTATTGCGACGCGGGGACCCAGCGAAAAACCAAATCATCAAATAGGCGAACCTCGCCTTCGATGATGATTGACCGCAGTTTTGGATGTGTTTCGCCACACACAGGAGCGAACATGTGCAACGCTGCGGTCAGGTGAGGGATGTACTGCTCTCCGGCACGTAGTCCTGATTGAATCTCCCCAGCGAGACTCTCGCTGACTTTGTGAATGCTGACGTTATTGAAACCGCCCGGTGGAGCATCGCCAGTCAGTACATCTGCGTTGTAGGCCGATATATGGAGTGTCTTGAGAAGAGGTGGAAGGACCTTGTTTAATTGACGAGCTAGGCCTTTTTCACTCTCAAGTGCGACTGACGAGATACGCAGGGTCTCAAGCCGCGAGAAGGCTGGGAACAACTGTGACGGCGGCATCAGAGATGTCACTGTGGACGCAACCATTTCGAGATCAACAATCTCCCTGAGGTCTAAGACGGTGAGGGTGTCTGCCTGTTTGCGAAGCAGGGCATCGGCGATTGACGGGCTGGCACTCTCGTAGTCCACGTGGTCAGGCTCCTCGGGGTCCCACCACGGGAGCTGAATAACTACCAACTCGCTTAGACTCCAGGCATTACTTGCAAGCCCGACGTCTCGATTAGGGTGCAGGGACGAGATGGTGACGCGCTGGATGTTAGGATTGATGTCGCCGACCTCCTTCCAGCCCCCATTGGTGATGTGAGATCCTATCTCCATGACAGAAGGTATCTGCACAAGCCCTGGACAAGTGTCCACTCTTGTGAAAAAACAATCGGTAGAGCCGCTTCCGGTTCTGTCCAACCCAGCGGCTTTGATCCCTTCCTGGCTAGCGAACCTGACCACGTCGAGGTTCTGTAACGTCGTGTTTCTCAGTATTGGATCCTCGAGTGAGGACTCGAGGAGCTTGCTCAAGGTGTCGTACCGTATCTCAGCAGGCGGGAAATCTGGCCAGTACGGCAGACAACGCAGCGTTACCGAGCGGAGATTAGCGCACAGGAATAGAACTGCAGCAAATAATCTCTCAGCAAGATTCGGAAAGCTCAAGTGCGGGAACCTGGTGGGTAAGCCCGGCCAAGGCATGCCGACGTGGCCCAGTATGCGCCGATCGTGCTCGGAACCTGGCATGGAGATAGAGTCTGAGAGCCGCGCCCAACTATCGGCGACCGCCAACCAGTCGTCCACCTGCCGCTTCGGCTCTCCCTCGGCATGGAACTCCAAGCTGCAATGCGGGGGAAATTCTTTGAGGAAAAGGTAACAGTCGAGTTCTCGGACAGCAACCCGCAATCTAGGGCTCTCGAGCAAGGTGCGCAGAAGCAGCACGAGCGAATCCGCGCTTAAGAACGGCCGTGGGTTGGGATCTCTGGCACGTCTCAACGGGGAACCTCTTCGCAGGATTATGGAGCGATAGAGAAACGGGGTGGCGATGCTGGACAACTTGCGGCTTGACAGGCAAAGTGACCATAGGAGCTGTGTTTTGTGCTTATGACGGCGCATTCGGTTTGGATCTTTCCAAGCCTTGTCTGTCGCGCCCTCAAGTGACCCAGGTAGAGAAAAGGAATGTAACCGACGTTCGAGGATCTGCAGCAGAATCTCTGGGGGCAGCCGTAGAAGACCGGTCAACTTTTCGTCGGGTTCAGCCATGGCAGCCAGAAGCAGACAGCCACACTATTGACGTAGCTGGTCGTTTTTGTTGCCGAGTTGTCTTTTGGCGTCTCTACCCGGAACGGACAGCACGTCAGCCTCTATCTCTATGGCGAGAGGATCGAAGCTTCAGTCTGTCTGTGCGAGACGGGACACCTGGGATGCAAGACTGTGCTCGAAATGTGCGCTGCCCATGTACCCCCGCAGGCAGTGCTGCGGGGGCACGCCAGAAATCATTGGCCGCCGTTTGCCTCTGCACAGCCCGGCAGCCTTGCTGAATCCCACACTATGCTCACGATTCAAGATATGTGCAGCTGGTATCTAAGCTGAAATGGTTAGAAATGTCACGAATGGTTTTATATTCTTTCTTTTTCATTCCATCTTTCTTACGGGACCAGCTGAGAAGCACCTTATCTGTCTCGCAATTGGGACGAATGCACCCGAGTCGATTCATGGCGAATCATGGTCATATCAGCCACCTCAAGGCGTCTATTTCCTGGCGTTGAAGCCCGCTAGAGACCATTCCCACCAAACATCATCATGAGCGGGGTCAGATAACGATTAAACATCCCCTCCCAGCCCTTTCATCACTGCAACTGCCCTCTTCGAAAGCCTGCAGCTCAAGTCTTCCCCCTCCGCCTGGCCCTCAAATGCGCCGAGCCAAAACTCCCATCGCTTGAAGTTGTAACCTCCGGGGCCATCAAACCGGCTTCCCGGCCGATGACTCTGATTGTCTGGACCGGTATACTCCGGCGGATCGACGACCAGCTGCCAGATCTGCGGCCCGGCATGGATTACACACAGTGCCGCAGCAGCCACGAGCAGCTTCTCCTCTTCCGGCTGCTCTACCTCCTCTTCGAGGGCCGAGCGTAACTGCCACAGCGCGAAATTCCACCCCTCGACAAGGCCCCCGCTCCACAGTAAGGCCATGAATGCCTGTGTGCTCAGGTAGGCGTCCTTCTCTGCGTCAGATGGTGTGTTGGGTCTGAATTCGGGTGCTATGAGGTGGATCATGTCAGGTCTCTCACAGGAGAACGTGCCTGGCAGCTTGGAAATGGATGGACGTACGGGCAAAAATGTCACGGAGGCTCCAACCAAACGTGTGGAGTGGCCTCAGCGTCTCCTCGTTGTCCTGGGAAAAGTAAGAAACCGCACGGAAGGAGAGGCCGGCGAAGAATTAAGGATTGACATACGCTTCCCTGCTGTGTGACAGTCGTCTTCGGAGAACGACCTAGGCGGTCGACCACACGAACCAGCTTGACCAACGCAGGGTGATCGTGCGGTATTTGTTTGGCGATGCCAATGAGGACGTTGTAAAGCGACCAAAGCGCATCGGATCCATCAGCAGGGGCAGGACCTGCCGGCAGTTTAGACAGGATAGAGGAACCGGTCGCCTCGGCCGTCGCTGTAGACCCCGGCTCGAGGAAGCTTTTAATCGAGTCGAAGGCATTTGTACCGTCGGGTGCATGCTCGTCGGGTTGATAGCTGAGGAACAGGGCCGGGGATTGGGCCTGATAAGTTGTCATGGTGAAGCCGGTTCGTTGCGCCTTGAAATTTGCAGATGAATCGAATAGTTGTCTGGAGAAGCTGGAAACAACACGATAACGCTGGCTGGCAATACGTACCAGTAAAGTAGGACGGAAACAAGAGTTCGTTAGAGAGAGAAAGAATTTAAAGGGGGGTTGACGCATTCGAACTGGAAGTGCAGCTTGAAGAGGGAGCCTGTCGAGGGAGTCCTGCCCCGCCTGCCATCTCAGAGGCTCAGTCCCCCTTCTGCATCGAGGGGCGACCGACGTCACCCCGAATATCACTCGTAAAAGGTACTTCGTACGAAGTATAAAAGTACGACACTTCACTGGTGGGTCTCAACTGTTGCGGGTTATCCCGTGCTACAGCCTCGAGATGCGGTTCGCTCTATGAACCACACAAGAATCTTGGAAGGTACGAAATACCTGCTCCGTACCGTTACGACCTAGAAGGTCCGAGGAAGTTTCTCTACGTTTTTGTGTTACGGCCAACAGACCCAACATGCACCAGCACGAGGGATGCACCGGTATGCAACGTGCCAGGGCGTAACCAGAGGATAACTCAGGATAAGATCACGTGTTAAGTCACGTGATAGATAACCAAGGAAGATAGACTAGCATGCTAGCGCCGGTACAGGGAACACACTAGTAAAGACGGATTACTAGGATTACTAACGATCACTTAGCTAAGGAAGTGATCTAGTGTGATCCTAGGTTAAGGGATCACCAGGGCGTTCGTGATCTCGTAGATATATATACTAAGGTATTCTAGGCCTTACTTCTATTAGAGAATAAGGCATCGATTAATCTAAGTCTTTACCTAGACTACTATTCTACGCTTAAACCTACCTTATAAAGAAAACGCCTAGTCTTTACGATATAACTACGACTAGACCACTACGAACGATAGTTACTGCTCTTTAGTTAATATTCTCTTCTTATTTAAACTAAAACCTCGACGCTAGTCCACTATTATCCGCTATACTATAGAGGACCGGAAGCCGTTATAATATTTTGATCGATCCTATTCGGTAAGCTAACCTTAATAGCTAATAAGCAGTACGCCCGAAGCAGAAGCTACTTCGCCTAAGGAAGAAGAAGTCACTTTATCTGAAGAAGAATTATTATCTAAAGAATCTAGTTCCTCCGACGAAGAGGAAGAGCCAGAATAATCTTAATAAGACGACGAAGTAGCTAGTAATCACTCTTCTAATATATCGAATAATAATAACCGTACCGCGAGCGCTACGAGCGCTATAACGTCTACTACTGCCGCTAGAGGAAGTAATAACCTTTAGCAGATTCGCGATATAATTACCTAGCTTTAGGGGGAGAATATAACCCTAAGGGCTTAGTTAAATTATCCTAGGATTAGGGCTTAGTTAAATTATCCTAGGATTAGGGCTAAGTATAAGTACCCTATACCCTCTAAGTATAACGGAACTCGAGGATAGCTTTAGAGCTTTATTACCTAGCTTAGAGGCTATCTCCTATTCTACTAGGATAGTATCCGTACGGAAGAAACTAAAGTACTCTATGCCGCGGCACTCCTTACGGGAGATACGCACGAATAGTTCGAATCCATCCACAGAGACTACCTAGAGAATATAGGAATAGAAATCCTGAGGAAGCCCGAGACCACGGTAATCTTCGAAGACTTCGACGTATTTATTAAAAAACTTAACGCTATTTTTGGCTAGCCCGATAAAGAATAAGTCGCGGCCGAATAACTAAGCTAATTATATTAGACTAAGTTAGCTACGGACTATACTACGAGATTCTAGTAAATCTCGTTAAAGCTTAGCTACCTAGATAAACCCTTTATAGATCGGTACTACTAAGGACTAAAAGAAGAAGTAAAGGATAAATTATACCGATTAGACCGACCTAAGATATTTAGCGAATACACCGTAATAGTAATTCGTACCGATAACCGGAACTATAAATAACACCGCTAGAAGAAGTATTAAATAAGCGTTCTATTCTACACGGCTAATTCGAAGAAGAAATAACTATACCCACGCTAGTTCGGAAATACCTTATATAGGTATTATAGTAGACCTATAAAGCTCGATAATATTAACCGATAAAGCGATAAGTAGGGTAAAAGGGATATAAAGAAAATTAAGTATTATAACTATAATAAGCCGGGTTACTATATACACGACTATTATAAGCCTAAAAAGAAATAATCGTAATAATAGGCTAATACGATCGGAAGAGAAAAACCCTAGAAGGAAATTAACGCTATTAAATACCTGGAAATTTATAGGGATAAAACACTACACGTTAACCTCTATTAGATAACCTGCTACGATAACTATTATCTAGTATACTAATTAGAAAAGGATAGAGCTAGATACTACCCTAAAAGACCCTAGAAGATACTCGCTATAAGATCTAGTAACGAGTACGATAACGACTATAGCCTTAAGACTCCCGACTAGGATAAGAATAGACTAGCTTTATAAACTATCGTAGAAATCCTTTAAAAATACGGATAGATAAAACAAGAAGCTAAAAGACAGAAATAGATCTTAAAGATCCAGAAGAAATAGGAAGTCCACACGAATACTAGTAGTAGAGGTTTTAGTACCCTCCAGGAAGTAGGACTTACTCCCAAAGAGAAACACTAACTTAAAAAAGAAGGTTATACACGTTATGCATAAGAAGAAATCGCTAAACTCGAAGAATAAGATTAGGAAACGGAGTTAGACGGAGTTCCGGATAATAACACGGACTTCTAGTACTAACTTATAAAAGTAGCCGACCTAGTCGAGGAAGAAACTAACTAGCTACGGATACTTAACTAGCTCGCGGAAGAACCCCTTGGATAAACCCACTAAGTCCGTTTTACTAAACTTAGCTCTAATAATACTTACCGCAGAGCACCTATAAATACTAGCGAAGAAAGGTAATAAACTATATATTAGCGACCTTACCACGCTTAGGAGAACCGAGACACTCTTACTAACTTACTAATAAACCTATAAGAGTCGGACGATTAACTACCCGAAAACTAAACGCGTAAGAAAGAATAGATAAAGCGTAAATAGGCTAGACGCGAGACTTACCTTTAATTACCTAGGTATAACTACTACGAATACCGGTTAAGCGAGTATAATACTACTAGCTATATAGTATACGCTACTAAGAAAATCCGATAACTAGAATAAGACTAGGAAGCTTAGGAATCACGCTTCTAGGGCCTCGATAAACGCCTACGATAGATAGAATAACTCTTAATCCAGTACAGGTTCTTAGATAAAAAGATATCCCTTGAATAATGTAAAAAACTAGGAGTATACTATCGTAAGGAGTATATAAGAGGCACTTAATAGATATACTCTATAATATATAGTAGTATAAGGCACTACTATATTAGAATACGACTCGATAACTATAAGATAAACGCACTATTAGATATAGGTATAGCAGGAAACTTTATCTTACTAGTAGCCGTAAGAAAGTTCTTTATACCTTAAGTTAGGAAATACCTAGAAGACGAGTACGAGATTACTCTATATACGGGAAAGAACTAGTCCTATAAAGAAGTTATTATCGACTAGGAGACTATACACCTTTAGGTCGAAATCTAGAATAAGACTAGAATAATAAAGTTTAATATATACGATATAGGTTATAAGGACGTTATCCTTAGTAAACTATAGTTTTATAAATAGAATCCCGATATAGACTAGAAGCTTAGCTAGCTCTGGTGGAGATTAGAGAGTGAGTAGGAGACTATAAAGGAAACCTTACCCGATCCCGATATCCGTCGAAAATAGCAGAAAGACTTACCGATAAAGGAGCCTTAGGGAGACTTAGATAGCCGCTAAAAATCAGGGACTAAGGCGAAGGAAGTACGAAAGACTTTAAGATAGCAGTAACGGTACGATAACCGACGCGTAATAAATATTATTAAAGGAATATATTAGATTATCTAAGCAGAGAGAGGACTCGTAGAAGGCGATAATAGACTCGCTAAGGTACTACCAGAATACCGTAAATACGGAAAGCTATTTACCGAAAATCTAGAGACTGGATTACCGAAATATCGATATTATAATCACAAGATACCCCTTAAGGAAGGGATATACCTAAAATTCTTTCTAATTTACGGGTTAAATTAAAAGGAATTAAATACCTTAGAAGAATATCTCGAAGAAATACTAGTAAAAGGCTATATTAGAGTATTATAATTACCGGTAGAATACCCGATCCTATTTATACTAAAGAAAAACGATAAACTACGACTATATATCGACTATTAATAACTTAACGATATAACTATTAAGAACCGCTACCTACTACCTTTTAGTTTAGAGATATAAGACTAGCTAGTTAGAGTATAATAGTTTATAGTACTCGACTTAAAAGGAGCCTATAACTTAATTAGGATTAAGGAAGGAGAAGAATAGAAGATAGTATTCCGTACAAAGCGAGGATATTTCGAGTACCTTAGTATACTCTTTAGGTTAATAAATACGCTAGCATCGTTCTAAACACTTATTAATAATATTCTAAGGAAATATCTAGACCACTTTGTTATAGTATACCTAGACGATATCCTAATCTTCTCTAAAATACTCGAAGAACACCGATAATACGTTCACACGATCCTATAACTCCTATAAAACGCCGACCTACTAGTTAAGCCAGAAAAAGTGCAATTCCATATATAAGAAGTTAACTTTTTAGGTTATATAATACGACCTAAGGAAATCTATATAGATAAGGCGAAAATCTAATACGTCTCTAAATAGCTATAGCCGTAGAATATTCGTGATATTTAATCTTTCCTCGGACTTATTAACTATTACCGACGATTTATTAAGGACTATAGTAAGATTACTATTCCCTTAACCGAAGTAACTAAAAAAGGACTCGACTTCGAATAGAATAAAAGGATAGAAGAAGTATTCTAAGCCCTTAAAGGAAGGGTTACTAGCGAACCTATCTTAGTAATACTAGACCCCGATAAAGAATACGAACTCGAGATAGACGTATCCGACTAGGCTCTAGGAGTATAACTCGGGTAATGCGACGCGGAAGGAAGACTATATCCTATAGCCTTTATATCTAAAAAACTTAGTAGACTAGAACTTAACTATTAGATCCACGATAAAGAACTAATAGCTATTATCGAAGCCTTTAAAGAATAAAGACTATACCTATTAGGAACGAAACACCCGGTATAGGTCTACACGGATTATAAGAACCTTATATAATTCACTACTACTAAGGTTCTTAATAAACGATAGATCCGATAGGCAGAATTCCTATCCGAATTTAACTTCTATATTTAATATATAAAAAGAAGCGAAAATAGTCGTGCAGACGCACTTAGCCGACTAGAAACACCTAATAAATCACCTAAACTATAAGC